TGCTCCTTTGTGCAAGGAAGAACAGGATGAGCACTACCTGAGCCCTACAAAATGACCTCCAGCAGGCCACTGGTGTAAATGTCTCTGACCAAACAATCAGAGCAGACTTCATGGAGGGTGGCCTGAGGGCCCTGTGCTCACTGCCTGGCACCATAGAGCTCGTTTGGCATTTGCCTTTGAACACCAGAACTGGCAGGTGTGCCACTGGCACCCTGTGCTTTTCATGGTGTGAGCAGGTTCACAGACATGAAAGGGTCTGGAGAAGTCATGAAGAACGTTATGCTGCCTGTAACATCGTTCAGCACGACAGTTTTGGTGGTGGGTCACTGATGGTCTGGGGAGGCATATCCATGGAGGGACGCACAGACCTCTACAAGCTAGACAAATGGCACCCTGACTGCATTAGGTATCGGGATGAAATCCTTGGACCCATTATCAGACCCAATGTTGGTGACAAGCGTATGCAGGCAGTTCCTTGAAGATGAAGGAATTGATACCATTGAATGGCCCCCACGCTCACCTGACCTTAATCCAATTAGAACACTCTGAGGTACAACCTGGTGGCGTTGGCTGGACCAAAACAGGATATCCCAGACTGCCCAGGAGCTCAGTGATGCCCTGGCGCAGATCTGGGAGGAAATTCAGGACATAAGCGGTCATCTCCTTAGGAGCATGCCCCGACGTTGTCAGGCATGTATACAAGCACGTGGGGGCCATACAAACTACTGAGTACCATTTTGAGTTGCTGCAATGAAATTTCAGCAAAATGGACTAGCCTTCTGCATCATTTTTTCACTTTGATTTTCGGGGTGTCTTTGAATTCAGTCCTCTGTAGGTTGATAATTTCCCATTTCCATCAAATTATGGGGCATCCTTACGTTCCTAACACATTACCCAGTCCATATCAGTATAGATATCCAGCATGAGATTTTTCCCCATTGAGATCTAATGTGTTTTCAAAGTGTTCCTTTAATTTTTATGAGCAGTGTGTGTGTGTGATATATTGCAAGCATTTTTCTTTTTAATGGCTTACAGCTAGTAAAAACCCAAAATTCAGTAGCTCAGAAAATTAGAATATTGTGACAAAGTTCAATATTGTAGACTCATGGGGGTTTATTTACTAAAGCTGGAGAGTCCAAAATCAGACTCCCTTCTGCATAGAAACCAATCAGCTTCTAACCTCAGCTTGTTCAATGAAGCTTTGGCAATGAAACCTGGAAGCTGATTGGTTTCTATGCAGAAGGGAGTCTGATTTTGGACTCTCCAGCTTTAGTAAATAAACCCCATGGTGTCACACTCTAATCAGCCAATTAACTCAAAAACACCTGTAAAGGTTTCCTGAGCCTTTAAATGGTCTCTCAGTCTGGTTCAGTAGGATACACATTCATGGGGAAGACTGCTGATTTGACAGTTGTCCAGAAGACAGTCATTGACACCCTCCACAAGGAAGGCAAGGCACAAAAAAGGTCATTGCTAAAGAAGCTGGCTGTTCAGAGAGCTGTATCCAAGCATATTAATGGAAGTTGAGTCAAAGGAAAAAAAGTGGTAGAAAAAGGTGCGCAAGCAACAGGCATAACTGCAGCCTTCAGAGAATTGTGAAGCAAAGGCCATTCAAGAATTTGGGGGAGATTCACAAGGAGTGGACTACGGTTGGTGTCAATGCTTCAAAAGCTACCACACACAGGATGTATCCAGGACATGGGCTACAACTGTCAAATTCCTTGTGTCAAGCCACTTCTGAACCAGAGACAAAAACGGCAGAAGCATCTTACTTGGGCTAAGGAGAAAACAAAGAAAAGGACTGGACTGCTAATTACCGGTCTAAAAAGTCCTTTTTTTGGATGAAAGTAAATTTTGCATTTCATTTGAATTCTCTTCCTCCAGACTCTGGGACCTTGATTTTCAAAGTTGCATGAGGTCCGGTGTGAAGTTTTCACAGTCAGTGATAATTTGGGGAGCCATATCATCTGCTGGTGTTGGTCCACTGTGTTTTATCAAGTGGAAAGTCAGCACAGCCCTCTACCAGGAAATTCTAGAGCACTTCTTGCTTCCCTCTGCTGACCAGCTTTATAGAGATGCAGATTTCATTTTCCAGCAGGACTTGGTCCCTGCCCACAATGCCAAATGTACGAATACCTGGTTTAATGATCATGGTATCAATGTGCTTGATTGGCCAGCAAACGTTCCTGACCTAAACCCCATAGAGAATCTGTGGGGTAGTTTCAAGAGGAAGATGAGACACCAGACCCACCAATGCAGATGAGCTGAAGGCCGCTATCAAAGCAACCTGGGCTTCCATAACTCAGCATCGCCTCTATGCCACCTCACATTGATGCCGTAATTGATGCAAAAGAAGTCCCGACCAAGTATTGAGTGCATACTGTACTGTACATGGACATACTTTTCAGAAAACCAACATTTCTGTATTAAAACACTTTTCTTTATTGGTCTTATGCAATATTCTAATTTTCTGAATTTTGGGTTTTCACTAGCTGTAAGCCATAATCATCAAAATTAAAATAAAGAAAATTAGTGAAATAGATTCATTACGCAGAGTGATTTGATATATCTAAAATATGTCTAGAATGATTGAATTTACCATCTTTCAATATCCATATTATAAAATTTTACGCCTTATATTGTGAGAACACTGTAAACATATGTGCAATGCATAGTAATATTTTTAATAATTAAATATATTTTAGATGTGGTATGTCAAAGCAACAGTTGTTTTTATAATTTTGGTACTGTGTTTACGTGCCTAAAAAGACCATAATCATTCTAGAAATATTTTAATCCTACAAATCGGGTCGTGGCACCACTATACTCGCTTGGTGTGACCTTCTGCCATTGCAACCCAACTCCATGAATCTATCTAATATAGGAGTTTCACTTTTTGAATTGAATTACTGAAATAAACTAACTTTTTGATGATATTCTAATATATTGAGATGCACCTGTAGATTCAACAAGGTGTTGGAAACTCTCAGAGATTTTGGTCCATATTGACATGATAGCATCACACAGTTGCTGCAGATTTGTCGGCTGCACATCCATGATGCGAGTCTCTCATTCCACCACATCCCAAAGGTGCTCTGTTGGATTGAGATCTGGTGACTATGGAGGCCATTGGAGTACAGTGAACTCATTGTCATGTTCAAGGAACCAATTTGAGATGATTTGAGCTTTGTGACATCGTGCATTACCCTGCTGGAAGTAGCCATCAGAAGATGGGTACACTGTAGTCATAAAGGGATGGATATGGTTAGCAACAATACTCAGGTAGACTGTGGTATTTAAATGATGCTCAATTGGTACAAAAGGGCCCAAAGTGTGCCAAGAAAATATCCTCCACATCATTACACCACTACCACCAGTCTGAACCATTGACACAAGGCAGGATGGATGAATGCTTTCATGTTGTTTACGACAAATTCTGACTCTGCCATCTCAATGTTGCAGCTGAAATCGAGCCTCATCAGACCAACGTTTTTCCAATCTTCTATTGTCCAATTTTGGTGAGCCTGTGTGAATTGTAGCCTCCATTTCCTGTTTTTAGCGGACAGAAGTGGCAGGAGTGGTGTGGTCTTCTGCTGCTATAGCCCATCTGTTTCAAGGTTCGATGTGTTGTGTGTTCAGAGACGGTATTCTGCATACCTTGGTTGTAATGAGTGGTCATTTGGTTTGAGATGATAGAAAGGCAACAGTAACTCAGTCTTCCCATTCTCCTCTGACATCAACAAGGCATTTTCGTCCACACAACTGCCGCTCACTGGATATTTTCTCTTTTATGGACCATTCTCTGTAAACCCTAGAGTTAGTTGTGTGTGAAAATACCAGTAGATCAGCAGTTTTTGAAATACTCAGACCAGCCTGTCCGACACCAACAACCATCCCACATTCAAAGTTACCTAAATTCCATTTCTTCCCCATTATGATGCTCGGTTTGAACTTCAGCAAGTCGTCTTCACCATGTCTAGATGCCTAAATGCATTCAGCTGAGTAAACATGCTGTACGGATGAATACACCAATGTATATAAAGCCTAGTTTTGTATAAGACATAACTTTTTTTTACATTACAGTAAGGGCCCATTGTTACCAACCCAGTCTGCTACAAAGTGTTAATTTGAATAGGCTGTCTAAGGCACAGTGGACTAAAAATGCTGCATGCATCATTTTCGGCAGTGCAGCACACCTTAATATACAGCAGAGTGTTGTGCATTGTAAAACAATGAAGGTGCTTTGATGTGCCCTTGAGAATAAATGCATTGTGGTAATGTGTGTGTCATCACAATATCACATTGGTGAGGATAGACCTTCAGTGACGCATAATCTTTCTGATGGAGATCAGATAGCAGTAAAAAAACTCAACATCCTTCTCAACTCAATCCAAAACTAGTAAGTTTTGGCTGCATAAACACTTCTAAAATAAATCAGTATTAATTAAATAGCATGCTGATACCGGATGTTTTATACTATACACAGCTAAATTTTTCCTTTCACATTTATTGCAATTTATTGGTCAGAGAGGCAAGGTTTCTCGCATTAAAAAAAAAAAAAAAAATATATATATATATATGGCCTCACATTACAGACATATTCAACCTGCAAGCCAGACTAGTCGAGTCAAGCCTCTCTACAAATATTTCAGCATTCTATGTCATGTCATGGAAATCACTCACTTCTGCAATTTGTTTGTGAATAGCGAAATAAGAGATATGGGTGTGTCTCGTGTCAATCACTCATTTCCATTCATGAAGCTAAGAAAAGGGAAGTATAATTTAAAATGCTGCTTGTATGGCTGTGAGACAATGGACAAGCCTGTGTTCCTTACTAGGATTGGGGGATGGGAAAGCAGTACTGCAGAAGCTTGTTTGTGCCCTCCACACAACCACTTCTGTTGCCATGCTCATTTCTGAACTAATCTGCTAATAATTTACAGGTCAATTACATAGTTACCGGTGTCAACAATGTCTCTTCACACACTAAAAACACAAACCTGGAGGGTTGGACCTCTTTGGTACATTTTCAGGCTCTGCAGCTGATCCAAATATATTGGAGGCCATCTTGTGCTGTCGGCTTGAAACCAAAGCCTCTTCAGGACCACCAAAAATGCAGCTTGATCCACCTCCTGGTGGCTTCAACACTCTGCAGGAAAAAAAGACAGACAAAGTATAAAGCACTTACCAGGATTCTAAAGATATGCAGATGGACACAAACACATGCAACTATAAGAAGGAACCATTGAGGACACAAAATATGAGATCAGATTTTTTTCCTTCATGATTCTTATCCTTGAATCACAACTGCAAATGCAGTATGGTAAGAAATAAAAGAAACCTTCTGCATACAGTTTCCCAGGTGCCCCATACCTGAACCTGATCTCGATCCAGTGATGTGCATGAGAGCAAAGTCTCTATTGGCTCGCGCACTCCTCATTGGCTCAGATACAGCAGCAGGAGCCATTGGCTCATGTTGCTGTCAAACATAGGTCAGTGACAAAAAGGAGTTGGGGGCAGGGTCAAGCCCCACTCTGTGTCTTACAGACACATAGAGCAGGGCTTGGAGGAGAGCACACACGAGTACCCCCATAGCAAGCAGCTTGCTATAAGGGCACTTGGTGGTGGAGAGACCCAGAACGCCGGCTCGGGGATCCGAAGAGAATCGGGGCTGCTCTGTGCAAAACAAGTGCACAGAGCAGGTAAGTATAACATGTATGTTATTAACAAAAAACGAATCTTTACTAATACTTGAAGTCAGGACACCTGCGCACACTTGATCCAAGTCACTGACTCTCTAAGTAATGAAACAAAAGACCACAGCTCTGGGGATATGCACCTCTAAAAATGTGTTTGTAGCAGTGACGATGGGCACAGTAGGAAGGTATTAACCCTTTTCTTTGCAACTGGATTTTTAATGTTTTAAAGTGAAACTCCAGCTTAAATAACCAAAATACAGATAAAACAGACAATAAAATTATTAAAAACAAAACAAAAAACCACAATACCTTTGTCAATTCCCAAACCCTACCGAACTTAATGGCTGGCAACGACATTATCCCAGAACGTAGATGAAAACACTAATCACAGCCTGCAGAGAAGAGGACTCTGCTTCCCCGCTTTCTGATCTGTGCAAATCAATGCTACACTGCTGACATCAAACCCATTTAAAGTGGTTCTATAAGGCAAAACATTTTTTTATCACAATGCATTCCCTGCATTAAGGTTAAAAATGTTTTACAGCTTTTTGTTCTCCCCTCCTCCCTAAATACTTACCCGAGCCCTCAATTGATCCATCGTTGTGTAGGGCTGCATCTTTTCTCCCCCCTCTCTTCCTCTTCACACAGGAACGTGGGCAGCAGCAGGGGCCATTCCATGGAATTCATAAAGGCAAGTGCAGAGAGATTTTGTGAAAGTGTCTCACATGAATTCTAAAAATGGTGAAGAATGCGCCAAATTGATGTACCAACTGTCTAGAACTTGTACTTGAATTTGTCGCATGCTCCGCCACTTTTAGAATGCACTCAAGACACTTCGTAAAATCTGTTAAGCCTGTTTTTCTTTTCTGTAAGCACACAGTTGGTCTTAATTAGCTCCACTTTTATAGTTGTCACATTCTATGCAACACAATGTAAAAGTGGCGCATTCAATGGGACACAATGAAACAGTGGCACACTTTAGAACTACCTGGATTTCATGCACGAGTTCGCTATTAGAACCAAAAGTGTTGCAAATGCTTCGCGATTTTGGCGCAATACAGAAACGAGAGGGGCTAACACCAGAAAAGTGGCGCAGTAGCTTTATTGAATTCCCATCATTGGCTGCTGCTGCTGGCAATCAACTACCATGAAGAGGAAGGAGGTGGGGCCAAGCTGCGCTGTGTGTTTCTATAGCGTCCGGCTTCATAGACACACACAGCTCGGGAGTGAAGCGTGCAATGTGTGCCCCTATAGTAAGCCACTTGCTATGGGGGCACACAGAGAAGAGGAGCCAAGATAGCCAGAAGGGAACCCTAGAAGAGGAGGTTTGGGTCCACTCTGTGTAAAACCATTTCACAGAACAGGCGAGTATAACATGTTTATTATTTTAGTTTAAAAAAATTTGCTTTAATAATAGCTACCTCACTCACTTGTCGATTAATTCCCATACCACCCCCAAGCCAGCCCGATTTCATTTTCAGCTTGAAATGTGGTAGTACAGCAGGATTCAGGTACGGCTACTTCTCCAGATGAACTGAACAAAACATCACGTTTTCATAAAACAGAGAAGTGAACTAAAGAGTGTTTATTACGGTACTAGATAAGACAAAACGTTTCTATGAGATCATCCAGTACGGCTGTAACATATAAGAGGTTAAAACATCCGCTACTGATAGATACCATATGACAGAGCTGAACAGCAAGGGCCCTCAGTTCAGTCTAGATAACACTGAAGTCCAATGTGACTGCACAGTGATGAGTTGGCAATCATTTCACAGTCTAAAAGTACCCCAGAGACATTAAAATTAGAGGTCAGCATGGGGATCTCTGCCAGAGGAGATCAACTGATCTGTCTGTGGGAGGAGGGAGGAGATATAGAACCTCCATACACAGTGATAAGCAATGTATTCAGCATGTAGCTTCTAGGACAAAGTTTCCAGCTAAAATATTGCAACTATTTAACATCTACACAGGACCTTGCCTATCTCAAAATGAAACACTTTAAAAGCCAACATACCAGGGATTGTTGTGCTTTAACCGAAACATATTAAAATAGTTTTTTTCTGTTATGTTTTTATGGATCATCATGAATAAAAATATATTAACTAACCGGTAGTGTGACCAGACAAGCCTGTCTCAACTTTTTTATTCCAAGAGGAACCCCTAAAATAAGACTTCATGTCTCAAGGGACCCTTACTGATACCAAATTATTAGAAGTCCATGGAGAACAAAAAAAAAAAAAAAAAAAAAAAAAAAAAAAGAATGCCCCCCTTACAGACGCTAAAGAGATAATGGTGTCATGATGCTGGACTGGAACTATGCAGACACCATCAGATAGGAGGTTAAGTAGGAACTTCACTGCATCTGAGCACCACAAACCAAGAAACACTTTCATTTATAAATTCGGACATTAGCATTGCCGCCTGACTGCTTTCACACAGTTCACCACAGTGACAACCCCCCCCAATATGAACCTCCCCCCACTCGCCAAGTGTCCCGGGCTCCACTTGCCCATTTGTGAGCCTGGGACTGGCTCAGTGTGCACCGGCAGCTAGAGGGGAGGGAGGAAAGCGAACATGTCTGCTCCCCTCCCCTTCTTGTCCTGATCTGGAAGCGACATTATGTCACTTCCGGGTCCCCGTTCACAGATTTCCCGACCACTAAGACCGGGAAAGAATGTAATGCAGTGTAATGTACATTGCATTACATTCAGGGGAGCACAGGGGAGAAATGCAGGGTCTTTTAGACCGTGCATGTCTCCTTAAAAAGAACCTGTCACCAAAAACTCATGACATAGGGGACTTAATGTAGAAGGAGGAGGCAAATAAGCAGAGCTTCCACTTTTGAGTGGAACTCCGCTTTCACAGCACAATCAAAGCTACTCCTGGGCTTATCCTTTACTTGTAATCCACAATAGTTCTATCATCCAAAAATATGGTTATTCAAAGAAGGAATAGAAGACTGTATGAGAAATATAGTAGGTGCTGAAAATGTTTATTTTTACCATTATTCAAAAATCAGACACAAGCTGGTGATAGGATCGATCATGAAGTATGCTGCATGTCTTCATCTATGGAGGGAGGGGGGAGGAACTAAGCAGATGTCCCTGATATGGACTGGCTGAAATCAGAAGCAAGAAATCCTACTGAGCCGACACCTCCAAAAAGGGTTAATCAGGAAGTGTCCACAGAGGTCAGACTGCAGAGAAATATTTGACTCTCATCAATTATCCTTTTAGGTCTACTTGAATGAATGATCTAATCAGGTTAAGCACACTATTGAGTGGTGGTCTTTTTATTGTTTTATGACAAGTGAGATTTTCCTCTAGGGTATTGCGGAGTACAGACTACACCATACAAATCCCAGCTAGCTCACTACCTGGGTGGCCCCGTAAGCCACCACCAGCCCAACATCCTTCAATCAAAAAAATGAAAGGAGCCAGGCTGAAAATGGCCATCTGCATAGCGTTTTCACCCAGATGTATCCAATGTTCGGTTATTTTGACAATAGCCACAGTGGAAGATTCCTTCATCCATGTTGTACAGAATTTGTTACATCATTTCAGTCAGTCCACAAATTGAAAAAAATAATCTGGGAGTAAACCCAGGTTAAAGGCCAACTCCACCTTTTGCACCATGTAAAAACACACATTTAGTGTTTACCATGGTGCAAATGGGACCATCCCCACCCAGCCAAAACACCAGTAGGGCTGGCTGTCAAGATACTTGAACCACAGTGGCATCTGACTGGATGCAGCAGCTGGTTGACAATTTTCCCCCAGGAGCCATTCAATTTTCATTTGTGCAGTGTCAGGCAGGATGCAGAGGACAAGCATTGAGCAAATTTCAGCCAGCTCAGCTTAAACCAGCCTTTATTCGAAGAGTGTATGGCCAGATTAAACCTTGGAGAGGGCTAAACCTGACCATACATTGCTAGATTTGCATACGAAAAAAAAATAAAATATATATCTGTATTTCAGTACATTCAATAATGCCATCATTGAAAGTACTTCAAACTTTCATTTACTTTCAATATTCAATTTCAAAATGAATGGAATTTCCTGAACATAAACCACATTCTCTGTTTGCATGATAAGAGTTTTCCATCCTCCTTTTTTCATTAGTGTGGTTGAAAATGCTAAGTAGGCACTGTGAGATATTTAGATCTAGATCAGTGGTCTCCCAACTGCAGCACAAATGATGGGGCACCATTCCTCCCACAGACACCAATGAGGGGAAACTGTTGGCGCTATATAAATCCTCCATATTAATATTCCTCCCACTGACACCAATGATGCGGCACTATACCTCCCACTAACCAACACCAATGATGGGGCACTCTTCCTCTTACCAACACCAATGATGAACCATTTCTTCCATGGTCACCAATAATGGGGCACTCTTCTTTCTAATGACTCCAGTGGTGGGGCACTATTCCTCTCACCGACAC